TATGGCCATGAATACGTAAAGAAAGCCGTCTGGAGGTTCACATGTCCAAAAGCTAACAGCGGTGTGATTTTTTTTTTTTTTTGGCTTGGCTCATGCTTAAGTTTTTTTCTGTGAGGATCAAGCATGACTCATATTAAGAAAAAAGCATCCAGGATGGGAAAGTCCGGAAGGGCATTCCTGCACAGGGAACAGTGTTCAGAGAATCACCAGCACCCAAGAGTAGGGCTTGACTGGAGGGGTGCAGAGGGTACAGCAAGTGGGGAGAGAGGGCAGGTGCTCAGGGGTCTCGGGAGCCCCTAGTACGGGTACAGGCTTTAATCCAACCAGAGGTAAACAAGACAGATCCGTGAATGGGGCTGCAGCTGTTGGCTTCAGCATAACAGGCCGTCCATGAGGGTGGAGAGTTGATTCCTTCTGATCCCCTGAGGGACATATGGGGCCACTGCGCAGAGACCAGACACCAGGACAGGGCTGCCCAGGAAGGCAGAAGGCAGGACAGCCAGGCACTGCAGTAGCCTCCTTAGCTCTTAGCTGGTATTGGTGGGTGGAATGGCCAACAACCAACCAACGCCATATCCCCAACATAAGGACCAGGGCCAGGCCAGTGAGAAACATTCTGAGCTTTGAGGGTGGCAGTCCCTTCCTCTCAGCCATCACCATGCTCCTCCTTTCTCCTGCCTCCAGTGCCCAGCCCTTGGTTGGCACCCAACCAGTATTTGCTGAATGAATAAATGTCCATGATGATCTGCACTCTCCCCCATTCCCAGTACCATTCATTTATTCGTTCACTCACTCTGCAAACACTGACTGTGGCTACGTCTAGGGCTACAGAGATTAACAAGGCTCCTGCCTCCAAGAACGATACTGACGTGCTGGACCAGAAAGCTCCAGCTCAGTGGTGGGTGGAAACCCCACAGTGCAGGTCGGCCTGGGTGCCATGAGAACCCACAGTAGAGCATCTGACGCTTGGGCCAGGGGAGGCCTCCTTAAGCAAACACGGCTGGGACCTCAACAGTTTGAGGAGGGGAGTGACACGGTCACATTCAGGCTATCAAAGAGGCCCCTCTGCTGCAGTGAGGAGGGCAGTCTTCAGTCTTCAGGGAAAGCAGGGGCCAGTTAAGAGGCCAAAGCGATAGTGCGGGCCACAGGTGGTGATGTCCTGGGCTAGGATGGTGGCTGATGAGAAAGAGGAAAGGGATGGACTGAGAAACACCAGGCGGGTGACAGCCAAGGACACTCCTAGATTTCTGAGCAGAGCCATCAAGTGGATGGTGGTACCATCGGTTACAGTGGGGGCAACTGGAAACAAGTGGCTGGCTTTCGGGAGAGTTAGGTCAGTTTGGAATACACTGAATTTGAGGGACTGAAGGCGTCTGGAGCTCAGAACAGCTTTCTGGTCAAAAAGGAGGTGGCAGAGAGGGCAGCTGGAAGCCATGGGGTGACTCTGCCCACCCCGACTATCAGCTTTGGAAGAAGAGGGCAATGCATAACTCCGAGAACTGGCTGAGTCGAAGGCTGGGGGAAAGGCGCTAAAGACAGAGAGGGTGTGGCCTCAGGGCAGTTAGACAGATGGGGGGAGGAGGTGCTTCTGAAAGCCAGTGGGAGAGGATGCTTCTGGAAGCGGGTGGAGACAGGGAACAGGACAGTCTGTGGGTGAGAGGCAAACACACACAGCAGTGGCTCTCGCTGGGGAAGACTGCCTCCTAGAGGACATGTGGCAAATGCCAGGACATTTTTGGGTTTCACCATTGGGAAGGTGCTACTGGGACCACGTGGGTTGAGGCCCCGGGCCAGCACAGTGGCCAGGGCACAAATGTGGAAGAACTCTGAGCTAGAAGAAGCTCGAACTCTGGAAGGAATTCCTTTCAAGACACTCGAAGCCCAGGAAAAGTGGGTACTTGGAGAGCCCGAGGCTCTTGGGAAACCAGGAAGGGAAGGAAGGATTGGGCTGGAGAGGTGGAGATGCTGTTAGTTCCACTGTGAGACAGGAGGCGGTTATCAGCTGAGGGTGAGCAGGGAAGACAGAGGCCTGAGGGCAAACAGGGAAATGGCTGCTGTGGGACTCAGGGACAACCGTGTGGTGAGCGGAGCTAGGCCAGGGATCAGATTTGCTGGGGTGCCTGCCTGGTCGTGTGAGAGGCTGTCTTGCAGGGTTGGGAGAAAACAGTTGGCTGGAGAGAGGGGTGATGAGACCTAACACTGCGCCCCAGGCCCTGCCAGCAAGGAGGTTTGCCCACACTGGCAGCAGGATGAGTAATGCCAGGCTGCAGCACGTTCTCCATGAAACTCCAGTCACTCACTTCAAGAGCTACTAGCAAGAGGCTGGGCTAGTAGCTCTTGCTCTTTCATCTGAAAGCCCAGGCCCAGCCACTCCACAACTCCTGGTGCACCCATTACTAACTACTGTCCAAAGATAAGACAGGGCTCATCTCTGAACTGAACTAATTCCCAAATTACACTTTTGCAGCCTTCGCTGGTTCTCAAAACCAGTTCTCTCCAGACTGAGCCAAATCTAGGTGTTCCTATTAGCATAGCTCACATTCCTTTGAAAACCACAACAAGAAAACAGACAGAGAAATCAGGTTCCAGGAGAAGGATGGCAAATTCTGTGGGAATGCCTGGAAAATCTCTGGTGCCCAGGAATACCAAGGAAAATTCCCTTCCACCAGAAAGTAAGAGGAGAAAGGCGAGACTTGTTAGTGGCACAGGAGAATTTTTAAAACCTTCCATTATTCAGGATGGTCTCCTGGCTTCTAGAATATTCTAATACGTAAGTTTGTATATTGCATAAAGTCCCTATTGAGAAGGTGTTTATTAAATCAGACTTTCAGAGATGGAAGGACAGAAGGTTTTTGTATTCAGTGCCCCCATCTGAAGAGCTAATTTTCTGTATAGACACCAGACAGGCTCTTGGGGAGGCATTCAGGGGTCAGGTGTCTTAATGTAACTGGGGAAACACTGAAGATAAAGTGTGATGATGGGCACATTAGGTTCAACACATCACTCTATGTTCATGTATGCCTGAAATTTTCCGTAATAGAAACTTTTTCTTTTTTTTGAGGTGGAGCCTCGCTCTATCGCCAGGATAGGGTGCAGTTGTGTGAACTCAGCTTACTGCAACCTCTGACTCCCTGATTCAAGTGATTCTCCTGCCTCAGCCTCCTCAGTAGCTGGGATTATAGGCATATGCCACCATGCCCAGCTAATTTTTGTATTTTTACTGAAGATAGGGTTTCACCATGTTGGCCAGGCTGGTCTCCATCTCCTGACCTCATGATCCGCCTGCCTCGGCCTCCCAAAGTACTGGGATTGCCGGCATGCGCCCCCCTGCCTCCCCCTTATCTCTTTTTTTTTTTTTTCTTTTTTTTTTTTTTTTTTTTTTTTTTTTTTTTTTTTTTTCTTTTGAGATGGAGTTTCACTCTTGTTACCCAAGCTGGAGTGCAATGGCACGATCTCGGCTCACCGCAACCTCCGCCTCCTGGGTTCAGGCAATTCTCCTGCCTCAGCCTCCTGAGTAGCTGGGATTACAGGCACACGCCACCATGCCCAGCTAATGTTTTGTATTTTTAGTAGAGACGGGGTTTCACCATGTTGACCAGGATGGTCTCGATCTCTTGACATCGTGATCCACCCACCTCGGCCTCCCAAAGTGCTGGGATTACAGGCTTGAGCCACCGCGCCCGGCCTTTTTTTTTTTTTTTTTTAATTTTTTTGGGACAAGGTCTCACTGTTGCCCAGGCTAAAGTGCAGTGGTGCAATCTCGGCTCACTGCAACCTCCACCCTTCAGACTCAAGTGATCTTTCCGCCTCAGCCCCCAAGTAGCTGAGACCACAGACATGGAACACCATGCCCAGCTAAGTTTTTGTATTTTTGGTAGAAATGGGGTTTCACCATGTTGCCAAGGCTGGTCTTGAACTCCTGAGTAAGTGATCCTCTCAGCTCAACCACCCAAAGTGGTGGGATTACAGGCATGAGCCACCTGGCCTTAAATGAGTTTTCAGTATAGGGAATCACAGTCCCCAAACCCAGGATGGCAGCCAGAGCACCGGGAGGAGTGACCATTCCTTGGCTTCCTAAAGCAGGGCAGAGACAAAAAGGAAGGGGGGCGGTGGTAGAGGAAGGAGGAAGAAGAGGAAGAGCGGGTGTTGGGGGGAGGAGGGGGGAGGGGGAGGAAGAGGAGGAGGAGGAAGAGAGCTCCCCACATGGTCTGTCCATAATTTTCTCTAGAGTCCTTGAAGTCATGCTGTCAGAATGGAGGCCACTCTGTAAGTAGGGCCTTAACAGGTGCCAGGCCCTCTGCAAACACCTATGAGGTAGGGACCACCAGGATGTAGAAGCCACCATCTCCACATTCCGGACAGGGACACAGAGGCTTATAAGTTCTACTGTGAGGAAGTGGAACAGCGGGGCTTTCAGCTGCCAGGCTCCCGCCCCTCTGAGAGTTTAAGCTCACCGTGGTGCAGAAGTTCAAGTTGATGACGTTGACAGTAAAGAGAGCAGCCCAAACATAACGAAGGGCTGTCCACGAGATCCTCTGTGTTCTGCTGACCTGGGCCTGACCAAGCATGGGGGCCTCAGTGGGCAGACAGGGGTAGGCCTGCCTGTGCCTGCCCTGGACAGGACACTTGCCAGGGTCCTTTCCACACATGGGACCCAATCAATCAGCCCAGGTCAAGCCAGGTCAGGCTGTGCTTCTCCAGCCCCTTCCAGCTTTCAGAACGCCCTGTCTCTGGTTCCTTCCTCTCCTCCCACTGTCTTATTTGGTACATGCTCCCTGTCTTAACAATGAATTTTTCCTCTTTTGGGAACTTATGGCCAATGTTATACAAAAGCAATGGACAAAATGGAGTTTGAAATGAAAATGAAACTTCACAGTCAATGTTTCAAGGCTGCAGTTATCCTGCACTGTGGAACGTCACAGAGTCACAGGCAAAGGAGGCAGTGCCCAATGGGATGGCCACCAATACCTGCTCTACAAAAAATGCCTCCATTTCTTTACCTGCTACTTTATCCCGAATAAGTTTTGCAGATTCAACTTCACCAATGCTGCTGAACAGGCTTCGTAACTCATCCTGGGTCATGTTCTGAGGGAGGTAGTTGACGATCAAATTCGTTCTCCCGATGTCACCCCTGCAGTCTTCGGCCATGTGGTCTTCATAACCATTAGACATTGTATTTTTCAAAAATCTGCACAGGAAAAAAGGGCAAGTAAATTCCGAATGTTCACACTGCAGTATATGAAGATAAAACTAGTTAAGTGCATTTGCACTAGATTTTTTTCTTTCTTTCTTTTCTTTTTGAGACAGAGTGAGACTGTCACCCAGGCTGTAGTGCAGTGGCAAGATCTCAGCTCACTGCAACCTCTGCGTCCTGGATTCAGGCAATTCTCCTACCTCAGCCTACTGAATAGCTGGAATTACAGGTGCCCTCCACCATCCCCTGGTAATTTTTGTATTTTCAGTAAAGATGGGTTTTGCTGTGTTGGCCAGGCTGGTCTCAAACTTCTGGCCTCAAGTGATCCTCCCGTCTCAGCCTCCCAAATTGCTAAGATAAGAGGTGTGAGCCACGGCGCCTGGTTCTGCACTTAGAGATTCTTTTCTTTGCTGTATATTAACTTACAGTCACACCAAAATCTGCATGTGGATGTTTACAGCAGCTTTATTCATAATTGCCAAAACCTGGAAGCAACCAGCATGTCCTCCCATGGGTGAATGGATAAACAGACTCCATTTGTGTGGTTCTGTACACGGGCATTTTTTTAATGATAAAAAGAAATGAGCTATTAAGCCAGGAAAGGCATTTAAAGAAACTTTAAATGCATATTTAAGTTATGATTAAATCTGTGTGATTCCAAGTCTGTGACCTTCTGGAAAAGGCACACTACAGAGAAAAAGATCAATGGTTGCCAGGGATGTGAGTGCGCAGGGAAAACAAACAGTGGAACACGGAATTGTCAGGGTTTTAGGGCAGTGAAACCATTTTGCACAAAATGTAATGGTGGGTGTGGACAATACATGTTTGTCAAAATCCACAGAATGAACAACATACAGAGTGAACTGAACTCTGAATTACGGGCTTTAGTTACTAATAATGTGTCAATATTGATTCACCAAGAATAAAAGAGGTACCATGTGAATGTGAGATGCTAATAATGGGTGTGGTGGCACCATCACAGCTCACTGTAGCCTCGAACTCCCGGGCAATCCTCAAGCGATCCTCTCATCTCAGTCTCCTGAGTGGCTGGGAATACTGGCATGTGTCACCACACTCGGCTTATTTTTGAAACTTTTTGTAGAGATGGTATCTCGCCCAGGTTGGTTTTGAACTCCTGGCCTCAAGTAATCCCTCCGTCTCAGCCTCCCAAAATGCTAGGATTACTGGCCTGAGCCACTGTGCCCAGCTTCTTTCTTTTTTAAAAATTTTTTATTCAGGCCGGGCGCGGTGGCTCACGCCTGTAATCCCAGCACTTTGGGAGGCCGATGCGGGTGGATCACAAGGTCAAGAGATCAAGACCATCCTGGTCAACATGGTGAAACCCCGTCTCTACTAAAAATACAAAAAATCAGCTGGGCATGGTGGCATGTGCCTGTAATCCCAGCTACTCAGGAGGCTGAGGCAGGAGAATTGCCTGAATCCAGGAGGCGGAGGTTGCGGTGAGCCAAGATAGCGCCATTGCACTCCAGCCTGGGTAACAAGAGCAAAACTCCATCTAAAAAAAAAAAAAAAAAAAAATTTTTTTTTATTCAGCCAATACTTCATTCTAAAGCCAAGGAATGAGCGCTTTCCACTTTACAATTTTTCTGTAAATCTAAAACTGCTCGAAAAAACAGTCTATGAACACAAAACAGAACAACTCTGTCCACTAGGAGGGCTTCGAAGAGATCTACAAACAATTCCAGCACCACAATTTAAGATCCTGTAAAAAAAAAACCTTTGGGTTGTCTCTCGAGAACATTCCAGATTTCCAACTGCTTTCTCCCCATGTCCGGAGCCCGTGGGGTGCGCCTGAACCCCACGCCTGGACACTCTTGCCGAGGGGGCAGGCAGGCAATGGTCCTCTGCATCTGTTTATTCCCAAAGATGCAGTGACTGAGCTGGAAAGAGGTGAGGGTTTCTGTACCAGTCAGAGGAACTTGGTCTTCACAGCTTGCAGGCTTTGAAATGTCTTTCTCAGTTGCTGAAGTCTTTCCTTTCAGTGATAAACATCAGAGCCAGTGATGGCTTTGGACAAGAGTCTGGATCAATGCAGCCAAGAGTGCCAAGTCTGCCCTTCTGAAAGTGTGTCGCACACTGAGCTCGCTCCTCAGAGGTCCCTCGTCCCTGCCTCTAAACATGCAGGTAGTCACCCCTGTGGATGACCACTCCCCCCGGGGAGGTCTTGGCGAGAGCCCACCCGTTTCCCTGGATCCCTGTTGCTCAGTTCTTTGTTATGTTTGAACACCCAGTGCCCACGGTCACCCGCCTTTGGCCTTCTCTAAAAATAGCCTTGCCAGCGGTTACATAAAAATCCGAACACATCTGTCACATGGAGACTTCCTACCTACTCCCTGAATCAACGCTGAGGGAAGAATTAGGTCTGGTTTCTTTTTTCCTGGGGGAAACATCCAGGTCTTCCCTACCCTCCTACTACTCTCGGATACTGTGCAAAATCAGTACAATTTCCTAGCATTTCTTTTACTTGAGGATATCCTATGCTCTCTGCTCTACAGAAAGTAGGTTAGCATCAAAAGCCATAGAAGAAAAGATTGAAAAGTGAGACTCCGTGAAATTAAAAACTTCTGTACAGCAAAAGGCATCATAGACCAAGATGAGGAGAAGTAGCTGGGGGGAAAAGATTCACTGCACATTCTACCATTTAGACCTGTAGTTCTTACCCTGTGCCATTCTGCCCCCCAGGGGACACTAGGCAATGTCTGGAGACATTTTTGGTTACTGTGACTCTGTCAGGGCCAGGGGTTGTGGGGTGCTGCTGACATCTGGTGGGTAGAGGTCAGAGAGCTTTAAAGCATCCTTCAGGGCACAGGTCGGCCACACAACCAAGACTTATCTAGCCCCAAATGTCAGTACTGCCAAGGCCGGGAAAACTTAATTCAGAACATCTACAAATTAGCAAGCAATAAAAGAAGAGACATAACCAAGAGGGAGGTAGATAAAGGATATAAGTGGCAATTTATAAAGGCCTGAAATTCACATGGCTCATAAGTCCAGAAAAAGACACTGAACTTCATCTTCACGAACAATGAGGAAAATGAAAAAGAAAACCAGATGCTACTTTCTGCCAGGTGCATGGAATAAAATCCAGTGCAAGATCACCTGCTACTGATCTGAGTATGAGACGGGTACAACCTTCTGACTCACAACTGCAGGAATCTGTTCTACAAAAATAATCTCACAAGTGCAGGAGTTCAAGACCAGTCTGGGTGACAATGTGAGACCCTGTCTCTAACAAAAAATAAAATAATTTAGTGAGCACAGTGACCCGCACCTGTAATTTCAGCTACCCAGGAGACAAGGGCAGGAGGATCGCTTGAGCCCAGGAGATCAAGGTTGCATGTGATCCAGCCTGGGCAACAGAACAAGATCCAGTCTCAAAACAAAACAAAACAAAAAAAGTGCAAGGAAGTCACTACTGCGTGGTTCGTAAGATTATAAAACTGGATGTAATCTAAATATTTGTTAATGGGGAATGGCTAAATAAATATCAACTTTCAGTAGCAGCTTGGGACCACCAGGATTACAGTTTAATCATGAGAAACTCCACGTGTCTGTTACACTATCTGTGGCCATGAGATTTTAAAATAGATCACTGGCTCAAAATCAAACAGGCGAAAATATTTGCTGGAGGCTGATCCAAACAGAGCACAAGGGTTAACTCTAAAGACCTAAATGCAACTAAAGCTTGTTCAAAATGTGATTCAAGCATTTCCTTTCTTTCTTCCTCTTCTTTCCTTTACCTTTCCTTCTCCTCACCCTTTCTCTAAGAGTTAGACATCTACTCTGTTTTACCCTCATTCTGCTTTCATGGAGAGTGAAATGGACAATGGTTGCCCCATGCTTACTGCCCACAGTGTGGTATCCTCTAGGCCTGGGAAAAAGTGGACCTTCTGAAACACACATCATGGCCTGTGCGACAAATCTGGCCCACTGCCTGTTGTTATAAATAAAGTTTTATTGGAACACAGCCTGTCTCATTTGTTTATGTATTGTCTGTCTATAGATAGTTTTGTACTACAATAACAGAGTTAAGTAGTAGCAACCGTATGGTCCAAAAAGCTGAAAATATTTACCATCTGGCTCTTCACACACACAAAAATATGCCGACCTCTGTTCTAAAATGTAAAAATATAAAATTTCTAGGAGAAAAATCTTTGTGGAGTTGGGCTGGGCAAAGACTTCTCAGACATAATACGAAAAGTCCATTTCATTAAAAAAAAAAAAAAAAAGATAACCCAGATATCATCAAAATTTAAAACTTTTGCTCTGTGAAAGACACTGCTAACAATTAAAATCCACTGACTGAAGTAAACATTTGCAAAAAGGACTTATAGTCAGAATACTTTTTTTTGTTTGTTTTTTGGAGTCAAAGTCTTACTCCACTGCCCAGGCTAAAGTGCAATGGCACAATCATAACTCACTGCAGCCACAAACTCCTGGGTTCAAGCAATCCCCCTGTCTCAGCCTTCCAGCTAATTTTTTACTTTTTGTTGAGATGGGATCTCACCATGTTGCTTGTACTGGTCTCAAATTCCCAGTGTCAAGTGATCCTCCCAACTCAGCTTCTCAAAGTGTTAGAATTATTGGCGTGAGCCACCTCACCCAGCCCAGAACACATTTTTTAAGCTCTCAAAACATAATAAGCGGCTGGGCGCGGTGGCTCAAGCCTGTAATCCCAGCACTTTGGGAGGCCGAGGTGGGTGGATCACGAGGTCAAGAGATCGAGACCAGCCTGGCCAACATGGTGAAACCCCGTCTCTACTAAAAATACAAAAAATTAGCTGGGCATGGTGGTGCGTGCCTGTAATCCCAGCTACTCAGGAGGCTGAGGCAGGAGAATTGCCTGAATCCAGGAGGCGGAGGTTGCGGGTGAGCCGAGATTGCGCCATTGTACTCCAGCCTGGGTAACATGAATGAAACTCCGTCTCAAAAAAAAAAAAAAACATAATAAGCAGACCGGGTGCAGTGGCTCA